ATTTTCTCAAAGTACTGACTCTTTGTTTCATTGATTCTTTGTATTATTCTCTTTGTTTCTGTTTTATTGATTCCTCTTGGGTGTGCTTACTTCTTTTTGTTCTAGGGCTTTCATGTGTGCTGTTATGTTGCTATTATGAGGCCTCTCCAAAAATTGTTTTATGTAGGTACTTATTGCTATGAACTTTCCTCTGAGTGCCACATTTATTGTATGGCTTAATTATGGGTATGGTATTCATTCATTTTCATTTCATTGAATTTTAGAAAGTCTTTAATTTCTTTATTTCTGTCATCAACCAATTTTTATTCAGTAGAGTGTTGTCTATTTTCCATAAGTTTGAAAGCTTTTGATGATTTTTGTTGTTATTGATATACAGTTTTAATTTATGATGTTCTGATAGAATTCAGGGAATTGTTGCAGGTTTCCTGTGTCTGATAAGATTTGATTTGTGTCCAAGTATTTGGTCAACTGTGGAGAAACTTCCATGAACTTCTGAGAAGAAGGTCTATTCTTTTGTGTTTGGGTGAAATGTTCAGAAAATATCTGATAAATTAATTTGAGCTGTTGAAGTTTCCCACTCTCAGTGTGTGAGGGGTCAGTATGTGATTTAAGCTGTAGTGGTGTTTTTATTACAAAATTGGGTGCCATTGTCTTTGGAGCATATGTGTTAAGAATTGAAATGTCTTCTTGGTGGATTTTTACTATAATGAGTATGTAGTGACTTTCTCTATCTCTTTTGATTAACTTTAGTTTGAAGTCTATTTTGGTAAACAATAAAATTGCTACACTAACTAGCTTCTAAATTCATTTGCTTGGAAAATGTTTTTACATTTTACATTACATGAGGTAATGTCCATCCTTGATTTTGATATGTGTTTTTTGGAAGTAGCAGAAGAATGGATACTGTTTTCCCACCATTCTGTAGCCTGTGTCTTTTTAATGGGTAATTGAGACTATTGATATTTAGAGATGTTAATCACTGATGATTGTTTGTTTCCTGTTGTTGTCCTATTATTATCTTTGTTGTGATGGTGGTGGTGACGGTGGTGGTGGTGGTGGTGATGGTGTGTGTGAGTGCCTCCCTTCTTTTGATATTGCTAGTGTGAGATTATTAACTTCCTGTATTTTTATGTTTGTAATTAACCTCCAAAGGTTGTAGTTTTCTTTCTAATACCTTCTTTATTGCTGTATTTGTGGATATATTTTATTTTTTCTTGAAATATTTTATTTTCTCCATCTATAGTGATTGAAAGCTTTTCTGGGTATAATAGTCTGGGCTGGCATCTCTGCTCTCTTAGAGTCTGCATCACATCTGTTCAGGCCCTTCTGGCTTTCAGGGTCTCCTTTGAAAATTCAAGTTTAATTATAATATGTCTGTTTTATATGTTACTTGTTCTTTCCCCCTTGCAGCTTTTAATATTCTTTGTTAGGTGTGTTTAGTGTTCTGATTATTATGTGACAAGATGACTTTTTTTTGTCAATCTATTTTCTATTCTGTTTGCTTACTGTATCTTTTTGGCCCATCCTTTAGATTTAGGACATTTTTCTTCTATGATTTCATCAAAAATTTTCTGGCCTTTGACCTGGGTTTCTTTTCCTTCCTTTTTACCTATTATTCTTAGGTTTGGTCTTCAGTATGATAGAATATTCAGTACCTGATATGGTGAGGTAACTGAGTTCTAGTGAAGACATATTGCTCTGGCTATAGTTTATTATGTTCTTACACTGGTATTTCAGCATCTGAAATATGGTCTAGATGCTGACTTCTGGATCTGGATCTCTTGGGCCAAGTTTCTGTTTCCTCTCTGGGTTTTTAGAGTTTATGATAGCTGGGTGTTCCCTGTTTTCCTGGCCTGCTCAGCTGCTATGTTTGCAGGGAATTCTTGCTGGTGTTGGAGCCTGGGTAATTGTGATGAGTTGAAGAACAGAAGGTTGGAGGAGAAGATATTTGTGATCAATTGGTGATGAGGTCAAAGAGGAAAGGGAGACCACAGCAGATTTCCAGCTACTAGCTTGGGCTGAGACTCAGGAACAATAGGAGAGGTATTGGTCTGCCTTTAGTCTACTTGTTGCCCTTGGAAAAGCTGCTGTTGGGTTAGCAGGGTGTTCCTTCTGGAGCTGGGGTCCAGAAAAAACAAAAATTTGTGTAGGGTGGATAGGAGCTGATATCTTATGGTATCTACAGGAGATGTGGGTGGAGTTGAGGGGAGGCTGCAGCTGGTATTCTGTTGCAGTTATAGGGAAGAGTCTAGGGCACTGGGTCTGGGGGATCAGGGAGAGGGGAAAGGGTCTGCCAATTTTCAATGTTTTTATTTGAATTTCAGCTTTTTCTTCTATGCTTTTGATTCTCATGTTTCTTTCTGGTCCCAAGTCCTTGAAAGTTATGTTGATGAATTTCTTATTATTATACTAATTGTAATTTTCTACATGAATCTATCAGTTCTCTACCTTTTGTCTAGTCCCTTATATTTTTCTCTCTAATTGATCTCAGTTTTTGGTGATATTTTCCATTGTGTTATTATAAGATATATTGCATTTTAAATTTCCAAGTTAAATAAATAAATAATAAAAGAAGGTAGAATTTCAATAGGAAAAAGAAGAAGCAAGACAGAAAGAGAAAGAAGATATATTTTTTTCTACCTCTTGCCATAGATCTCTCTCCTGATTTCAAATAAGGTAATCTTTATAATGAGATGCCTTTTTATGAAGATTTGATTACCACTATCAAGCAGAGGATAAAATCAAACAACAGTAAGAGCAAAAAATGAAGAGTAAGATACAATTAGAAAAAAACTCTACTCCATATGCACTCAGAAAACAGAAGATATAATAGAGATGAAATAAGACCTTAGATTTTTAGTGAAGAGAAACACATCAATAATTAAATAATGTAATGCAGGTGGAATTTTAATGGAAAGAGACAAGCATCAAGATTCAAAAGAGAGGAAACATACAGAGAAGGCCAGAGAAATAATACTGGGGGAAATCAAAAAATCCAGCTCAAGGCAAAGCAGTAACAAATGTACAGTTGATGCTTATTTCTATTGGAATAGAGAATGCAGAAGTGCCGATGTGTTAATGGTTTTATATCTCTGACCCAAAACATCACCTCATCTTAACAGCAAAGTGATATCCACATAGGTTAAATGGAATAGTAATAGACATTTAAATACTGCTTAGTCCTGCATTTCCCACTGGTGCAAGCATATTATTACGACTGGTGGACTGAATTCCTGCCAGTATATTCTGCCTATAATACTCATTGGATCTATGAGCTGTCATCAAATTGCTCTTGCCATCTGAGACAGTGCATTACATGGTTGGATACATTCTTGTGAAAGGCACACTCTGACTGTGTGGCCATGGGTGTGAGTCATGCCTCCCTGGAGACTGTTTTGTTCAAATGCCTCTGGGATATTTGGGATTGTATGAAGTAGTCAAAACTATATGTGTGTGTGTGGGGGGGGTAGGGCAGTATGCCATTACCACGATAATTCCTATTACAGTTTTCTGATTTTATTCAAATAGAGCTGGCACCATTCATTCCCACAGGTTACTCAGAATTTCCAAATGTCCTCTGCTTATCTCCACAGAATGTTTTGCATTTACTATCATGTAGATCTGTCTCTATTTTTGTGTTTAAGTCACAAAAAAATATTTATGATCCCACAAATTTTCAAGTTTCACATTTAGCCAGGCTGTTGTGAAGACAATAGTTTGCTCTTCCAAAACTGGCAGCAAGACCCCATTGCTGACAACAACAGCCATATGCCAGGGTCCACCCTCAATGCCAGTTCAGGTCCTGAGATAGGGAAGGGTCATTGATGCAAGAAAAACTTCTGTCAGGTGGATAGCACTCAAATGGTCCTGAGTAGCTTCAGCCATCTTTATTTTTACCTTAAAAGACCTTATCATTAATTTTATATCCTTTGTGTCCATGGAATTTACTCTCAACAGTTGACCCTATGTGTATTCCTGAGGTTCTTTTTCTATTTTGTGTATTCATTCCTTACTCTCATTTCCAGAACTTTGAGAGATGGTTAATATTTCAAGTACATTTTTCTCATATGTACCCAACTGTCTTTATTGAGTCAGAAAAGTTCCCAGGATTAGGAGTTGTAGTTAGTTACTCCAGATAAAAGTTTTGAGAAGCATTAGCTCCCTGTTGAATCTTAGGAGACAATGTTCAAGAGATAATAGAATTTCCAGGAAAAATTACAGCTATTGCATGTGTGACTGACAAAGTAAAACTAAAAACCACCCAAAGAATAAACACTATAATGAGAGAGAAAAGAGCCTGCAAGCTGCACAAATTTTTGCAAATTCATATACTCTCTTGTGTTCTACTGGTCCTTGCCAAGTAACATTCTGTTTCCATGGGTGTCTTTCCCTAGGAAACCCACTAGACAGGTAGTCCTATGCTGATCCAAGACTAGGCTGCATGGCTCCCATCAAACACACAACTAACTTATTTAACACAATTTGAGCTTGTGCCTAAATATAGAACCTTCACCCCCATGTTCTAGTGTCTATGAAATAGAAAAGTACTCTGCAGTCTATGAAAAGAGAAAAGTAAATGCCAATCCAAGTACAAAAACTTTGATCTACCATCTGTCCTACCTACAACATATTCTAGGGCAATGGTGGCACAATCCTTGTGAAAGTAGTCAACTGATGTATAATTTAACTTAAGTCTCACTCCATGAAATGGAACCCATACTTAACAATGCTTGAGTGACTTGAACCAGAGTCTAGAAAATCCAGAGATCTAGGGTAAAATCAAAAGTTATTGGTGAACAAAAAAGTAATAATAAAATGACTCCTAATGATATTTAAAGATATTCTGTTATACTCAAAAATCAATGACTTATTCAGCCATCATCAGAGAGGCTTCCTTTTGAAACAGATGGGGACAAGTACAGAGAACTGTCTCCAGATATTAGGAGACCTTGTAACACATAGCTTTAAATGAAATGTCTCCATCAAATCCCTTCCTTCAGAGCTCTAGAATCCCTGAAGAAGTGGAGGCACAATGTGTGGGGAAGACAAAAATGATAGAGAAAACTAGGAGAAAAAAGCCCTCTGGATCAATGGATCAAAGCTCGTATGAACTCATAGAAACTGATACACCAACTATGGAGCCTAAGGAAGTCTGCACCAGGTACTCTGTATATATTCTATAGTTCTTAGTTTAGCACTTTCTAAGGGTCTCCTGACTATGAGAATGAATGAGTCTCTGATTCTTGTGCCTTCCCTTGAGGATCTTTTATTTTTCTTTTGTCTTGTCTTGTCCAACTTTGATATAATTTTTTTTGTTTTATCTTTATGTAAGTAATTTTGTTGTTATCTCCTAGAAACCTGTTCTTTTCTAATGATAGACCGAAAGAAGGTAGATTCAGATTAGAGAGGAGGTGGGGAGGAACTGGGAGAAGTAGAGGGAGGAGAAACTCTATTCATCTTATATTGTATTAGAAAAGAGTCTATGTTTAATAAAAGGGGGAAATTGCAGTCTGTTTTCAACTGTGTTTTTGAAGAATGCAAGGTTGTGTACCCATGGCGCTTACTGAACCTTTGTTTTTTTTCACTTGCTAAGATCTCTGCTTTGGGAACTCTTTTCCATGTCATGTGGTCTATCACCTGACATTAGAGACATTTTTTTTTCTGTTTTACAACTTAAGTCCTATATCTAAATTTCACTCGGGCAATACCTGTGTGTTCTTTACTCCATAGTTCTGGGCCTCGTCATTCTATTTAGCCCCACACCTGTTATTATAGACTACCGAGTTCTAACAAAATTTCTGGGTCTCTTATCATGCAATTTAAAACTACATTTAAAAAATTGTGCTGCATATGCATGTGGAGGTCACTGGACAACCTGCAGAGATTAATTTATGACTGTTAGACAAAATAAATACATGTAATGAATTTCCTGTGTTGATAGATTCTTATTACACTGGCACATTTTTTGGATTTGATTTGCTTGCAATGGGTTGACAATTACTGAATTTTTATTCATTAGTAATACTGAGCTTTATTAGCCAGAATATGCTTTAAGAGTAATGCAAGCACCATGAACTATGCTAGTAAGTATTGATATTACATAAATTACCCAAACTCAATACTTTTCTCAACCTTCCTTGGAAGAATTCATCATGGAACTCATTGACTTTTTGAAGATTATACATTGCTTATTCAATGCCTTGTGTAGACACTACCCCCTTTTGCTGTTTATGGCTATTTATACAAATACTAAGAGTGTATGTGTTTTCAAAGACATGGCATATTTCATGCAATAGAATAAAATTGTAGATAAGGGGTTGTTAATAGCTTTTATTTTTATTAAAATACATGTAGAATCAATAGCAAAGCACATTTTCTTATTTATAATAATAATAACTTCCTTGCCTTTTTCTTTCTTACTTATCCTGGGAAGAATTTAGTTTTTTTTTTTTAATAAATGTTATAGGTATTTTCAAATAATCAGCTTTGTGTATTATAGATTTTTCTCTTTTCAAATTTCTTTGATTTTTTCCCTTCACAAAATTCTATTGTTCTGTTTGCTTTAGTATTATCTACTCCCCCACCCCCCCCGCCTCTTGTTTGCTAAGATAAAAGCTTACAGTTTCAACTTCAGGTCTAATATCTTATAAAATATTTTTATTTTCAAGTTGCAAGTTTTCTCCCCCCCCTTGTCTTGTGTAAACCTTGATGAACTATACTTGAGTTTTCTTCAACATATACCTTAAATTTCTTGAGGTTTCCTTGACAATATATAATGTAGAAATGTGCTTTTACATCTCTAAATGTTTTAAAATTTTGTAATTATCTTTTAGCTATTGAATTCTACTTCATTCCCCATCCAATTTAGTCTTGATGAGTACTATGATTAATTTTCCTTCTTATAAAATTCTGAATGGTTTTTGAGGCTGAGGATGTTATATATATTGGTGAATGTTCCACTTGAGCTTGGGATGAATGCTTGCCTTATGTTGCTAAATGAAATGTTATTTACAATATCAATTAGATGCAGATGGATGATGGGTCTTTGGAGTTAAATCATGCTAATAATAGCTATTATTATTGGATTACTAAATTCCTGGAAAAAAATGTGGTAAAATCCCTTACTAATTATACGGCATTTGTTTTCTTGCATTTTCTTCTACAAGCTTCTGCTGTGTTATTTCAAATGATGTTCTTAGGTGGCTATTTTCTACTGTGATTTTGTTATGAAGGGTCTATCTTTGTAATATACATATAAAGTTAAATTATCTTCTTTAGTTCCTTTATTGAAGTTAATTTATTCTAAATTTATATAGTAATCTGGCTAGCTTTTTTCATTTTTTAAATTTATTTATTAAATTTAATTTTACATATCAGCCACAGATTCCCTTGTTCTCACCCTTCCCACCCCCACCCCCACCATCCCACCACCCGCCTTCCCCCCAACTCACCCCCCATTCCCATCTCCTCCAGGGCAAAGACTCCCCCAAGGATTGAGTTCAACCTGGTAGATTCAGTCCAGGCAGGTCCAGTCCCCTCCTTTCAGGCTGAGCCAAGTGTCCCTGTATAAGCCCCAGGTTCCAAACTGCTAGTTCATGCACTGAGAACAGGACCCGGTCCCACTGTCTGGATTCCTCCCAAGCAGATCAAGCTAATCAACTGTCTTATTTATCCGGAGAGCCTTATCCAGTTGGGGGCTCCTCGGCTACTGGTTCATAGTTCATGTGTTTCCTTTCATTTGTATATTTGTCCCTGTGCTTTTTCCAACCTTGGTCTCAACACTTCTCGCTCATACAAACCCTCCTCTTTCTCACCACTTGGACTCCTGGAGCTCCACTAAAACCCCATACATTAATAGTGGGAATCTCAACAACCTACTTTCACCACTGGACAGATCTCCCAAATCGAAACTTAACAGAGAAATAAAGGACTTAACTGATGTCATGACCCAAATGGACCTAATAGATATCTACAGAACATTCCATCCTAACAAGAAAGAATATTCCTTCTTCTCAGCACCCCATGGAACTTTCTCTAAAATTGACCACATACTTGGCCACAAAGCAAATCTCAACAGATATAAAACAATTGGAATAACCTCCTGTGTTCTATCAGACCACCATGGTTTAAAGTTAGATTTCAACAACAAAAAAAACTACAGAAAACCTACAATCTCATGGAAACTAGCTTTTGATTAATATCTTTTCTATCCTAGGGTACTTAGCAGGGTTAATTTATCATTGCAATAGGAGTTGTAAAACTTCCAGTTGAGGTATGCTTTTATTAGCCTCACTGTCAGTCTGTGCAATGCATTTATTGTATTGATAACATATTATTTTAAACTGTTCACTAACATAGTTGAATGAATGGAAATTCCATTTAAACTGTTTCCTATTTGTTATACTCATAATTATTTTCTTTTAGTATGTACTAATTAATATACTCTGCTTTTTACAGTTTAATACAATTTTTTATATTAACTTTTCTGATCTCTACCTCTTTATATATATTTATATATGCATTATGAATATATAAATGTATGTACATTATATATAGAAAGCCTATATAAATGCATAGATACATTCAATATAGATATATACCTAAAAACAAAGAAATAAACTTACAATACACTAAAAATAGATTATAGATAGATAGATAAATAGATAGGTAGATAGATACAAGCTAAACTTACTGTAGTGATTACCTCTGAATTTCAGTGTGTACTAAGTATAATGAGTATAACTAAGCTGATTCTATGTTCACATAGTATTATAGAGCTTCCTGAGTAAAGCAATTGTATTTTACTAGAAAAATGCTGAGTTTACTTATTTCTTTAATAACATCCTTGTAGCATACATGAATTTCCACATTTTAGTTGTTCAAGATCATTAGTGTTAATATTTCAAGTTATATTAGGCATATTAAACACACAGAAATGACATATTTTAATTTATCTCCATTTATTTCTTATCTGGTTCTTTTTTATGTATATATGATATATATATATATATATATATATATATATATATATATATATATAATGTTGACTCTTTCTAAAGAAATTCTTTTATTTTTTGAAAGTCATTTCTACTGACAAAAATTTTTCGTTTCCTGCCTTTTATAATAGTTGTAAAATTTATCCTTTAGAAATCTGTCATACAGTTTTGTGTATGAGAAATTTTAATCCAGTGTGCTTATTTTTTTAACAAAGTTTAATTTCTGTTTTAAAATTGTATATATGTGTACTGTATTTACATCATTTCCATCCTTCCCACTCCTCTATCCAACTCTTCATGTTTCCACTTAACTCCCTTTCAAAGTCATAGAAACTTTTTATTTAATTATTATTATTATCTATAAACAAATTAATATGTAAATAAATCCTGTTGAAGCCATTTGTTGTTTCTTCTGATTTTATGGCTCATTCCTGGGGAAGACTGGTTCTTTCTCTTTCAACAGTCCTTAATTGCTTCTAGTTCTTCGTGTACAGGTTGGGTCATGTATAACTTTCCCAGTCCATGCTGACATGTCAAATAGAATTGTAATATGCTGCTTTGATTCAGACCACCATATTGTTGAGTGTTCATGAGTGCATTTTCCCTTTCTTATCTAGGGGCCACGGGTCCAGCAGCAGTTGTCTTGGTCTTTGCCTCTTCAAATCTTTCTGTTCGCTCTTGCCATGAATTTCCCTAAACCTTAGCTGTAGTGAATGTACACTGTAGATGTGTCAGGTAATCTATGGTCACTTACTCTCTGCAATTTGAGCACTTATGGATCTCAGTTCCCATCTGTTTCATAAAAAGCTTCTCTAAAGATACATGAAAGTTGCACTGTTTTCTGTGGTAATGTCACCCCGACTGTACTGGATCTTATTTGATTATGGAAAATAAGCATGTTTTGGGTTGGATAGTACTTGAATGGGAGAGATTTTTCAACAAAGTTTGAATATGTAACCCTTTACATTCTAATTTTCTGATATTACTATGGGGTGTGATGGAAATGGATTGTGATATGGTGTGAAGAGAAAAACTATTTTACAATCATATATCTAATCTTTGAATTGCCCTCTGTCCCCAAAAAATGACCCTCAAAAGTGTTGACTTACATCTTTTAAAATTTTGTCTGACTAAAGCCATAGGGAAGCTAATAGAGGCTGGATTT